GTCTCAGCATGTTGCGGGTATTCTTCCCACCCAACACCTCCTTCATAACTACCTCCTCCGTAGTTGCTTGAAGTACCACCCCAGCCATACCCTCCTACAGTAGTACCTCCTCCGTAGTTACTTGAACTACCACCCCAGCCATACCCTCCTGCAAAACCATCATCACAAGAATACTGGTGAGAATGAGTTTCACCGAACGATATTGAAGGCAGTCTCAGCATGTTGCGGGTATTCTTCCCACCCAACACCTCCTTCATAACTACCTCCTCCGTAGTTGCTTGAAGTACCACCCCAGCCATACCCTCCTACAGAAGTACCTCCTCCGTAGTTACTTGAACTACCACCCCAGCCATACCCTCCTGCAAAACCATCATCACAAGAATACTGGTGAGAATGAGTTTCACCGACCGGCTCGGTCTCGACATACACCTCTGCAAGCCGCACCCCGTTGTCAGATAGGAACTGTATCATCATGTTCACCGAGTCATCATCATTTATGACAACTTTTTCGTACATGATTCCGCCAGCACTCATGTTTGGATAGCGGTAAGCAATTTGACCAACTCTCCTTTGCCCGCCCGTACAAGTCCTTTCTGCACAAATGACATGGAGTTCTTGTCACGAGAATCTCGACTCAATTTTTAGCATAGTGGATTCGCCATTTTCATAGTCGATCCCAATGTTCGAGTTTGTCACCCGACCATTCCACCGAATAATAAGCCGAAACTTCTTAAATTTACCCATGTCTGCAATTTATAATAATTAAGTATAGTATATAATTAGTACATTAGGGATACAAAAACAATATCATCCAAACCCATAAACAAACGCATGTAATTGATCTATCATGAGAAAACTAAGCAAATTCATCTAAATTCATAACTAACTAACTAACATCTATCATATCATAATTAATCAACTAACTAACATCTATCATATCATAATTAATCTAAATATATCATAACCTATTTTCCTATAACCGCAATTAACTAAATACAGACATATAATTACTAACACATCAACATGTAAACAATACATAATTATAACATATCGAAGCCCGATCTATCATGAGAAAACTAAACAAATTCATCTAAATTCATAACTAATTAACTAACATCTATCATATCATAATTAATCTAAATATATCATAATATATTTTCCAATAACCGCAATTCACTAAATACAGACATATAATTACTAACACATCAACATGTAAACAATACATAATTATAACATACCGACTCCCGATCTATCATGAGAAAACTAAACAAATTCATCTAAATTCAGTACTAAACTAACATCTATCATATCATAATTAATCTAAATATATCATAACATATTTTCCAATAACCGCAATTCACTAAATACAGACATATAAATTACTAACACATCAACATGTAAAATTACATAATTATAACATACCGAATCCCGACGAGTTTCTTGAGCAGTAAACCAACTCCAAACCAGCTGAGAAAATGACTAATAAAACACTAATTTTTGTACTAATTTTCTGTTAGGTAGCAAGAGGGGAAGTGGAGGTCAGTATTTATAGGAAAAAAACGGCAGCAATCACCGCTGAGGACAATGGCGGTGAACACATCACTGCTTTTGTCCAAAGCGGTGATAGCTAGGTCGCTGTGACCTAATTTCCCACCTACCAGGGCTCTAAAACGTGGTCAATTATCACCGTTTTGCACAAACGCGGGGAACTCATCACCGTTTTGGTTGAAAGCGATGATGCTATCACCGTTTTTGACCAAAACGGTGATTGCATCACTGTTTTGGTTGAAAGCGATGATAGCATCACCGTTTTTGTCCAAAACGGTGATAGCATCACTGTTTTGGTTAAAAGCGATGATGCTATCACCGTTTTGGTCAAAAACGGTGATTGCCATCACTGTCTTAGTCTACAACAGTGATGTTGAAACTGCTGTATTTTGGGAAATAAGTTTATAAGTACTGTATTTTGGGAATTTTTTTTAATAATTAGAGTATTTTGGGATTTTTTCCGTATAATATACCACTTTATTATGTCGTTTTATCAAACATGCTTCTCTACTATTTTTTACATTAAACATGCCCTTATATTTTAGAAAAATTATCAAACATGTCCTTTTGTTAAAATTTTCATCCATAAACCGTTAACCACAACCAAACTTTGATTTGGGATTACAAATGTCTAAAATATCTTCAATAACTTCACTTTGGAATTTTTCTTGGTTCTTTTGTATAGCCAAATAATCCTAATAATTTCACTTTGACAAGACCCAGAGAAATAAAACAAGGGACAAAACTGATATTTTCCCTCCCATTTGCCGATATCGGGTCGTCTAAATCTCGGTTCAACCATGATTGACGATTTTTTCAATGAAAATTTTAACAGAAGGATATGTTTGATAATTTTTCCAAAGTATAAGAACATGTTTGATAAAAAAATGGGAAATATCTTTACTTTGTTTGAGTAGGTCGGTTCATGGGTCGGGTCGGTCAAGGGTTGGGTTAGACTGGGCAAGATGACATAGTTAGTTTTATGATGTGGCGGGTCGGGTTTCATCAATTTAGTGTTAAATTAGGCTGACTAGACGATTCCGTCTGCCACGTCAACACATAACAGTCTCCATTAACGGAGATGAACGGAGACTAACAAAGAGTGACCAAACTTGGAATGTTTTACTAAATCTAGAGACTACGAACGGAATTAAATATTTTTAGAAACTAAACATGAACGTTTTTAGTAATTCCAGTGACCATCCTTGCAATTTACCCCATAAGAATTTAAATGATAAAAAGAACACTAGAAACTAAAATTAACAGCTAACTTCCATACACATTCGTATCAACAAGATAATATTCATGTTCATGAGAGGAATTAATCCTTTCACAAGCTCTAAACAAGACAGCTAGCGAGCTTAGCTCAACAAGTCACCGAGTCAAGCTAGCTCACGAGCTTATCAAGCTGAGCATGGTCTAGTCCAAACTTGGCTCGTTTACTAACGCTAGCCGACTTGTTAAATAATGAGTCGAGTGTCGAATAAGGGTTTTCCAATTCAAATGCCAACTTGCTCGCAAGCGACTTGACTCATTTACAGTCTTACCACTAGTCGTACCATTCCACTTGCTAAACCGGCCCACCCGTATAAACCGGTTAGAAAATCTTGCAGCCATTCCATTCCATTCCCAGCCCGTTCCCCGCCCTCTTTCTTCCTTTCTGCAACTTCTGAAGAAAATGCCGCACCACCGGCACAAGCTAAAGCGAGCTCAACCGCATTGATCTGACTGTTACCTCTGACCGTCGTAAAGGAATGTCGAACTGGATCTCCTCTAAGCTCAAAGTTGCCGCAACTTTATTCGAGCAAGTAATTATTCTTTTCTTCCTCGCCCACATCTCATTTTACATTGACGAATTATGGTTCCAATTCCATGTTCGTTTCTTGCCTTTCAAATCTGGGGTTTAGTTCTTTTTTGAATGTACCAATTGAATTTCTGGTAATGGACGGGGATTCAGATTGATCAGCAAGCTGCCGAGTCCTTGAAGAAGAATGAGGAGCAGCTATTTGAGGACCAGAAGTTCGACGTCCCGGCGAAAGCTGGTGGCGCTGTGCCTTTGAAGGTTCAGCTCAAGATGAAGTCTCCGGAGGCTCGTGCTCACAATGAATACTTAGGGAAACTGAGTGAAGATTCTGGGATTAGGAACAGTTACAGTGGCAGCAATGTAGAGAAGGAGTTTTCAAGTGCCCCAAAACCTAAGCCCACCCTCACTGATAGTGATTGGACCGAGCTACTTAGTAACCCCAATCCACCTTCAACTTCTTCGAATCGGAGTAGTGGGGGATCTGGGATTCGTGGTCTGAGGAAGGATTTTAAGCGGCAGGTGAGCTATGGTTCCAGTTCAGCAACAGTGGAAGGAAGAGAAATTTGAAGACCAGTAGTAATGTGGATAATGGTCTCAACATTAACAGGAGATCAGATCCTCTGGGAAATAAGCTTATTAGTGCGAAGCGGAGTGATGGGGAAGAATCTAGCTCATCTGCTAGGTCTTCAAATGTTGAGTCACATACTGATGGGAAGGCTGTGGATAGGCAAGGAGAGGACAATAAGGATATATTTGTGGATGGGGTGGATAAAGACAGGATTGGGGAAATCGAAGGGGATGGCTGGCAGTTTCAGTCTGATGATATTTCTGATGCCAAGGTACTGAGTGCAGGTGAAACGGATCATCATGTTGACGTGTCACCAGTATTGCAGAATGTTGATGGTGTACCTGATGTGAAGAAAGAAGTAGGTGATATTTATGATCGACTAAGAAGTACAGTCAAAGGGAAGAAGAAATCTGGTCCTGCTTCTAACAAGTCAGTCTCTAATGATCTGAAAAGAGGTTCTTACTCATCAAGTGGTGGGGACTCTGATTTGGATAGTGAATCTGGCTCCTCTTCTGATTCCGAGAGCGAGAGAGAAAGGGAGAGAAGGGAGAAAATTTTGGCTGAAAAAGCAGCGGCAAAGGCTGTTGAGGCAGTTAAAGAGCGGGAGAATTATGTTGCCAGATAGGAAGGATAGAAACATCATTTGGAGAAAATACTCGAAGAGCGAGCAAAACAAGCAGCTGAAGAGGTATTTTCAGGCTTGAGCTCTTGTTATTGCTACAGGTCTCATCATTCTTGCTCTGATATTTCATTTTAATGGGAGCCAAAAATGGTTTCAGTTGCATAAGAGCAATATTTTCTACTCAAGGTATAAAGGAGCATTGACTTATTACGTTTTATATCTGCATAGATGTTTCTTCTGTTTATCCCAAAAGATAGCCACCATTGTAAGCTAGGCTGAAGTTTTGAACCTCCTCACTTTTTGAAAGAGGAAAGGAACTAGACTTCCCTCCAACTGATTCAAACAGCATATCTGGTCATCCATCTTCATGGTATAGTTGCAGCAGCAATAATTGTCTACAATTTACATTAGTTGCTGACATGTTGGTCACCAGTTAGAATTTATTGTTATCCGAATATGACTAGGCACGCCCTGTTGAGACCTAAAGGTGTATTTGGTCATACACAGTTTTTGGATGAGTGATGAGTAGGCATTATGATTGGCCTGATGATTGAAATAAGTTGGGGTTTCTATGGTGAGAATGGTTGGTTATGATGTAAGCCATGGAGCTATTTTCAGCTCTAAGCATTGTTGATCACCTTTGAGGTATATGCTTGAAGTCATCTCTAACTTTCAGATGATTTAGATATTAGTGCATGAGTTCAAAGCAGTTGTGGATGGCCAAGTTTTATTTTGGTTGTTAATTACTTTAACGTTTCTATGGCCAGGCTTCAGAGCTGCAAACGAATATGATGGAAACAATGGAAGCTGCCGATTTGAAGAAGCAGAAACATAACCATACTAGAATGGAAGCCCTTGCTCGATTGGGTAAACTGGAGGTATAGTTTTCCTGAAGTCATGCTTTTATACTCTATTAATGACTCTTTTATGAAATTAAATTGAGATTTCTTTTTGTTAATTTTATTGTCTCAAAAGATGAATGCGCTTGCAGACTGCAAATGCTGATCTTGCAAGATCTCTAGCTACTGTTCAGAAGAATCTAAAGATTGAGGTATGCCTTTTGTGATTGAAATTGCCAAGTTATATAGTCACTTTATTCTACAAGAATATAATCAGCTTAGAAATTGGATTTGCAAAGGAAAAATGAGAATAGAGAGCATTAGTGAAGTGGGAAAGTTTCACATGGATATCCTAAGAACTATACTGTTAGAGTCTTATATGCTACTTCTGGAAGTAAGCAGAAGAGGAAACCTGGCAAGCTTCTGAAGCGGAGAAAAGAAGAGAGCTGATGTAGGTTGAATGTGGTTGTTCCTTGTGATTGTGGTTCATGTTATCTGAAATGAGATATTGATTGAAATTAGATTGGTCAGGAGCTATGCAGTATGCTGTCTGATAGTAGATTACTTACTAGCCTTCTAACATGATTCATTATCGATGAGGGTGAAACTCGAGTTTGAGCTTCTGTTAGCTTTCTGTATTCAGTTCGAGCCCTTTTTCCCACAACTTCTTGATATTTCCTTGAGATTCATAAGGATGGATGATTTCAAAATAATTTCACGTGTTTCCTTTCTCCTGTTTATGTTCATCTATGATTCTAAGCTTATCTTGTGTCCATGGCAGAGTAATCGAGTGGCAGATCTACGACTAGAAGTTGAGCTGAAAGAAGTGACAGTTGAAGGTGACCAAATTTCTTACAATCTGTTTTGCTTTCACTACTTACTTTCTGTGTTTTCTATTTTCCCCTTCAATTAGGCTAGAGTTAGCAAGTATTGTAGCTTGGACATTATTCACTGGACAGATCTGCATCAGCAACTCTTCAAACCACAAGTGGTTAGAGAAGTTAATTCTTACATGGAAATCCCCATTGGGAAATGTTGCTATTAGACATATAGTTTGTTGCTAATTGAAGAAACTCCTGTATTGTTCTTCCCAAGTATGTGAACCTATTTGTGGTCTTCTTTTTTTGTTAGTGTCAAACTTAGAGAAATCTTGAGATAAGTTGAACAGGTACTACTGCTTATGCTCATTCGTTTACGATGAAAGTGATTCAAGAAATCAACTGTTCTGCACACTAGGGTTGCAATCAAAGCTTTCCTATGCGATGATACGCTATATCGTTTTGGTGACTTGTTGAAAACTCCCTATTGCATATGCTCATACATTCACTACGAAAGTGATTCAAGAAATAAAATGTTCTGCACATTAAGGTTGCAATCTAAGCTTTCCTATGCGATGATACGCTATGTCCTGTTGGTGACCTATTGAAAACTCTCTTTCTCCTTGTAGAATCCAAGAGGAAGATTTCTGAGACTCAGCAGACTGGAATACATATTAACCAAGTGAGTCAGATTCTTAATCCTATGGTTAAACTATAACTGAAGGAAGGGGTTAAAATGGGTGGCAGTCCCAGCCACCATGGTGTCTATGTGTCACCCTCCTTATTTACTTTTGCAAGTAGTGGCCTTTTCTATTTGAAAATTATGTGAGCCTGAATATCTACCTTCATATAACTAACCAGTTTTTTATTTGAAAACTTCAGTTGGGCGCTTCAAAAGGTGTAGAATTTGAGCGAGAAATTCTTGAAGCTGAGTGCTCTTTTCTGGCTGATAAGATTGGAATACTGGAAATCAAGGTTTGTTTTCTCTTCTTGGAATTGAACTCGACCAATGCCTTTTTATTAATCAAGGCTGCCTCTGCATATGTCCTTTAAGGAGATACAGCAAATGTCTTCTTATTCATGAAAGTTGTTAATCAGCATCACTTTTGCTTTCAAAGTACAAAGGATCTTTGCATTTTTGTCCTTGCTTTTGAATTGAGCGGCTTCCAGCTAAAGCTATATATCAGTTAAATGCAGAGGCTGATCAGTTGATTCTTTTTATACAGGCAAAAGAGTTGGAAGCAGATATTGAATTGACGAGAAAAGATTTGGAAGAACCAACAGAAGTGGAGTATGAACTAAAGCGCAGGCTTGGGCAGTTGACTGACCATTTGATTCAGAAGCAAGCTCAGGTTTGTCAACTAAAAGCTTTTATTGGCTTCATTATAGACTGGCCGCATTGATCGCTGATGGATTTATTGATTTATTCACCCTGTTGCTTGGATGAATCAGGTGGAGGCGATTTCTTCATGTTACCCCTTCTTCATGTTACGCTGTCATCATCGCCATTCGCAATGATAATCATGCAGGCCTTGACGAGATCGGTGGACGAGAACAAGTCGTCTACTAATTCCACGGATTTGGAATCAGGAGCAAGTACATGGGGGGAGAGGGCGAACGAGAGACGAATGGCACTAGAGGATAAACTTCGGCCAGGAAGGAAACACTTGGGTTCATTGCTTGAACAGCTCGACGCTATCTTTGTCGCTGGTGCAGTATTCCTGAGGAGGAACCCGAGCGCGAAGATGTGGGCTGGGATTTACCTGGTATGCCTTCACCTCTGGGTCATTTACATACTAACGTCACACTCAGGCGACCCGGTGGCGGAGGGAAGATCTGGTGCCGTCAATTCGCTGGAGAATATTAACAACACTGGCGCTGTATAGCTCTTGTCTGTAATTACATTACACACTCCTACAACACTGGAGAATCTTAACAACACTGTTCGGAATTTTAAATAGAGATTGACATACATCAAAGAATTCTTTTCTGTTGTATCCAGAATCTTTAACCATAAACAATCGTACTGAACCGGCGGGTTGGATCGATAAACAGGCTACCGCCATTCAGGCAAAACTGTCAAACTTGGAACCTAAGGCAACACTGTCCAGTATCTTTAAAGTCGTGAATGGTTCAAGAATCCATAAACATGGGGACTCTTATGGTCAATAACCAACTGCCCAACTGCCATAATGAATCACAAATTCACTCTTTTTCTTTTAGTTAATTTTGAAGGTAAAACAATCAGCTCAATTTCATCTCATCTCCTTTGATCCCTTCTCCCTCACTGCTCCTTCTACACCTTGCACAGCACAAACAAAATTTCATGTTCCCAACCCATATTTTGATATTTACAAGTACTAAAGAGTGACAGCTACAAGATAGCTAAAGAAAAGGAAGTTCCTTTCTCCACCTCACCATGCTAACCCCTCTGGAGGGAGACTGCGACTGTACAATGGCAGCTCGAACAAAAACACAGTTTTGAACCATGATGGCAGGTTTTCATATAGCGATGGAGGCAGCGGTATTAGAGGGCTGAGAGAAACACATTGGATGAACAGAGTCAAGGAAAATAAAGGATAAATTTTCCCCATGCCAATACTAAGTACTAACCTGGTCCTCCTTTTGTAGATTCTATATGCTGGAACATTGCCAAACTTCTTGTCAGCAGAGTCCTATCATCATTTCTCAATCTAATTAGATGTATATTATTTAAGACACATTCAAATGGTCACTTAACATTCTGCAAAATGCCATGGTAACAAACCTCGAGCAGTGGAATACCACTGAGGAAAAGAAGCAGCAATGTCAAGAAGATTGGCCCTAGAATGACAAGCCATTCAGCCCGTTTCAACACAGGTGAAGCCGCCACAAAGATCCCCCACCATAGGAAAATCTGTTTCAATGAAAAGAAAACTTTTGAAGATAAAAGCAGCAGATTCCAAGCTAAAGCACGGCCATTAGTATGCAGATAAGAGTCCTGCATACCTCTCCGAAGTAGTTAGGGTGGCGAGTATAGCTCCAGAGCCCAACATTGCACCATTTGCCTCTGTTTTCAGGTGAGTTCTTGAAAGCAAGTTTCTGTTGATCAGCTGTAGCTTCAAATGAAGTACCGATAGACCACATTATCCACCCGATTATGTCCCGAACATCTAGTGCTGGATCTCTGTCACTGGAATTCACTACAGTCAAGGGCAAACTCACCGTCCAAACCCATACAGCCTGCAGTGAATGAGAATACATGAGTAAGCACATCAAATACTAATTTGACCATCAGCAAACACTTATAATTAACGATCTTTCAAAGGGGAGGATGAAAGTCTCATCAACCTGAAATATCCAGAAAACTGCGAGCTTCCCCAAATTGCTGCGCATTTCATCGAAACGCCTATCCTCCCCCCACTGCAAAATCCTGTTCAGGAAATACACGTAAAATCAGTGCTACTTTTGGTCATTGAGCGATGCATCATAAAATGGTGTATCTATTTGATAAAATCAAATACAATTTCTGAATCATGGAGCTGTCTTTTTTATCTCCTACATGGAGATGGTGCTAGCATAAGAAATTAACAACTAGTTCATGACCCAGTTGATAAAACAGGTGCCAACTAATTAAACACACATTCAATCAGTTCATAAACATTTTTATATGTGAAGTTGGATTTCAAGAAATAGAAATTCTGAATGCTTGTACGGAACTTAGCACTTTCGATTCATACCTCATTAACAGAAACAGGCCCAGACGAATACCCCATATTATGACAAGGACACTCAAGACAACCTGTAATGTGGGAAAAACACCCAAGTCAAAAGCAATGCTCATTAACACAGGGAAAGTAACATGGGAATCAGAGGTTGGCCAATGGAGGAAATTCATGAATTTATATGCATCAGCAATTCAGATATATATATATAAGGAAATCGAAAGCCAAGGAAAGCTTCGAATGGAGTTTTTGTGGAAGCTTTTGCAGACCAAAAGACTATGAGAGTCATTAGAATTTGTGCTAGGGCCAAGGAGTTCCATCTAATAATTAGTATTGGCAAAAACTTCTTCTACAGTCAGTTTCCAACCCGAAGAACATTAAAAAGGCATCGAAGCAACAACTGTACAACTTCATAATTGAATCCTACTTTGTTAGTATACCTCTGAAGGATACTGCTTTCATCACTAAAACTGAAAAGCAGATATAACTCAAGTCCATAACACATTTTTCATCGAGCAAGTAAATTTTTTTCTACTATCAAGATTCCATCTCAACAGAGAAAGACTAGACTAGTACATACAACAGTGCCATCAATTGACCAGCCTCAGAAACAAAGACAAGTTTACCTGTCTGAAATACCATGTCCCTTTCAGAATGAGGGTTAGAGCTGCAAGTATGATGAAATTCGTGCTTCCTGGTACAGATTATAACAATCAATCAGCCCCACTAATTAAACTACTTCAATTTCAGGTTATACTGCAACTCTACACGAACCATCTATTTCCATTATCCACCAACCCACCAATTTCCATGATCTATTCTACCCCACAGGCATTCCATTCATAACTACCAAGAAAAGGGGAAGAGATTCGAAACCCCAAACAAAAGAAACGAAGAAGAATACCTGCAAAGTCGGTGACTTTATCAAACTTGAGAAGAGCTGTGACAATGAAGAAGAGCAACTGGTATCCCACCTACATAATACAATGAACAACAACAACTTGTAAACGATCTTTCCCCAAAACCTACAAAGAAAACAAAGAGAAGCCCGTGAATCCCCAAGGTGGGGGAGAAGAGAATTGAGTACGGTGACTATGGCGGTGAGAGCAAGAAAATGAGAATCCAGTACGGTTCCCATTTCCAGATAAGAACGGCGAAGAGCTACCGAACTGTTTCGCCAGAGCACTGCTAGAAAAGAAAAGACGGATGATTTTTAGCAGTTGGAGGGAGTATGAGAATTATAACGGACGGTTGCTTGCTTAGGAGTTTCAGAAAGTTGGAAAGTTTCGTTGACGGACGGATTCTGGCGGCTGCATGAGAGGCCGCGACGAGTGGTTGGGATTCCAACACCGTGGCTGATTACAGTCTGTCTCTTGTCCACTTGTCTTTTTATTTCTTTTCTGTTTTTGTTTCCACATTTCCAGAAAGGAAAACATTCTGTTTTTGTTTGTTGCCTTGGATTAGATATTGGAAGTTGATAAAAGTCGTCCTAAAAATTACTAATGATCATCCTAAAAAATAACAAAGTTATACTTTTAACTTTTAACATCTTTACCTTTCCTCTAGCAAACAAACACCACCTTCACTTAGAAAGCAAAAAGCACTCATTCTTCCACACTCTTGAATTCATCATCGACATTTGGAAGCCGAAATCCTCGAGCATACGTCCGAATAATGAGTAGCGACTCCGACGAGATAAAAATCTCGATTTTTTTTTCAAAACCAAAAAAACCTCAACCGAAAGTAATTTTCGGTTGGTCCATGGTTCAACAGAAAATTGGATTTGGTTGAACCATGGGCCAACTGAAAATCACATTTGGTTAGGCCATGAACGAACCGAAAATATGTTTCGTTTGAGCCATGGTTGGACCGAAATTTGGTATCGGTTGATCCACAGTAGCACCGAAACTTTCCTTCGGTTATGCCATGGCAGAACCGAAAATCACCTTCGTTTAGGCCGGTTAAGCCATGGTGGAACCGAAAATTGGATTTGGTTAAGCCATGGTGGAACCGAAAATTGTCTTCTATTGGTAGATTTTGGGTTTTTTTTTTGTTTATATCAAATATTTCTATTATTTTGTTATGATTTATAGCTTGGTCTATAAGATAGTTTGTTGAATTTTAGTTTATATTATTTTTAAATTTATGAGCATAATTATTTGTTAAATTGAATGCTTTTGTATACAAAATTAAGATTAGATGTATAATACACAAATAAAAAATAGAAAAATCTAGAATATGATTAATATGATTCTTACATTAGATGTATAGTATGTAAATAATTGAGAATGATAAATTTTGCCATGTTAAATGTTGGATTTTGCGTAGGAGATTATAGAGAATGCTAAATTATTTGTGATAATTGTTAAATTAAATGTACTCGTTGGATTTTCTATTATTGTGGAGTATTGCTTATATTATGAGATCTAACATTGTAGGATATTGATGATTACGGAGGGGATGACAAAGATTACACCTCAGAATTCGTCAATGGAGTAAAATACGATACGGATTTGATTGCATATGCAGCAGCTACTGAGATTGCCAAGGATTTTGGGTTTTTATTTGGTGAAAGCATCAAATAAAAAAAATCCAAGTGAAGATAGTAGGCGACGATACTTGAAGTGCACTCATGGTAGGAAGAAAAAATTGATGGCTCCTGATTCTGATTCGGCTAAGGAAAGGAGGCCTCTTACTTCTTCTGGAAAGTTGGGGTGTGAATTTCAGATCAAGATTGAGCGGTCAGATGATGGATATTGGTTGATACTAGCAGTGGCTAATACAAAGAATCCTGGTGCTAATTTGGGTTTTCACAATCATCCGCTGGAGCTATTTCCGAATGGATCAAGTAAGATGAATGTTTTGACCGAAGATGATAAACAATACATCAGAGAACTGAGATTAGCCGGTGTCGCCCCAAGGAATATCCACAAGGCAGTGAACGAGAGAAAAGAGGAGCATGGAAAGGTGAACAAAAGACAGCTTTATAACGCATTGTATAAGATAAGAAAAGAAGAGCTAGGTCAGAGGACGACCTTACAGTACACTTTTCAAGATGTTGGGGAGAAGGGTTAGTATGTGCAGTACGTGGATGACCGTAACGTGCTTACACACTTGTTCCTAGCTCGCCCTGAGTCATTATTGATGTTGCGAGCTTGGCACCATGTCATCGTGATAGATGCAACATAAAAGACCAACAAGTATGAGTTTCCATGGGTTGAGATTGTTGGCATGACACCGGTGGGATTGAACTTTGTCATTGCATCTGCGCTAGTGTATGATGAGACAAAAGAGTCGCACCAGTGGCTTCTCACGCATCTGCAACATTTGCTTGGCTCTATCACTCCAGATGTATTTGTCAGTGACAAAGCAGGAGGATTGGTTGAGACCGTGGGGGTAATGTTTCCATCATCGACTCATATACTATGCCTTTGGCATGTAGACAGGAATGTGAGAGAACGGTGTCTAACGGAGGTGAAGAGGACATCTCATTGTGGGATAGATGCAGCCAAACCGACAGTGGATCTGATCATGGTGTCTTGGAAAAAGATTGTATATGTCGACAGTGAGGAAGACATGAATAGAGCTTTAGACAGTTTCAACGTAGTTGGGGAGTACAGTATCCACGTCTTTGGAGCTTTAGACAGTTATGAGGTTGATGCTCATCGAGGTATCAGTGGAAGGAGCAAGTTGTACATGTCCGTTTCCTGCTATCCTTGGTCTCCCATGTAGATGTGGAATGCAATTAGCACGTTCTGAAAAGCGGGACATTACCCCATATGAGGTGTTAGCTTTTTGGACCATTATGAACTATCGTGAACCTCCTACTCGGGCAGAGTGGGATGACCATAGTCTTTACCATCGTGATGTCTTCCAAGGTCTAGTACATGAGGTTCTTGATAGGGGAGATGCGACCATTCGAGGGGCTATTGGCCTACTTCGGAGTCATCTTCATCCTGAAAATGATGGCATTGATGAGCCGCATGGGGGGCAGCCCCGACCCGGTCGCCCAAGGACATCCACTACGCGAAACCTATCTCACTTCGAGCATGTGGAGAGGAGACGAGGGAGGAGAAGTTCGATACCTCCGACCACCACACCGGACAATGACCAGAGAACATGTAGGTTGTACTTTTTGGGAATTTTATGTTCAATTGTGTAGAATATGATGTATAACTAACTTATTTTTGTAAATGATATTAGGTGGTATCCCTGATGCACACACCAACTTCGAGTCTACAAATACAATTGGGACGGAGCCAGATACTCATAATGATACAGGTTAGAAGTTGTGTCCCTATTTTAGATGATTAGATGTTGTATACCTCTTGTATTAATTCATTGTGTTGTGTATTTTGGGATAGATGGTGCCCATTGGAGGGTTGTCAGGACTCCCAATACTGGTTGGCAGAGTTACCCGTGGTTGTATTGTTTGGAAACATACGTGCAACCATACATTCGTGGTTGGTTCAACCCACGACCAGATGGACATTGCGGATTTCGAGCAATATCACAAGCACTTACCGGGACCGAAAACAGTTGGCTGCAGATGAGACGCGTTGTTGTAGAAGAGCTTGAAACCCGACCTGAGCTTTACAGACCATACTACGATGGAATTTCCGACAGAATAGATAATGGGCTTCGGCGTTGCAGGTGGACTCAAGATCGTGGTTGGGCGTTACCCACTGGCTGGATAATGTGGAGCTTTTCGTCTTTGCCACATTGCATTCATGGGCAATTGCTGTCTATAGTCAAGGCAGTCGTTATACCGTGCTACCTGTGATTGCCCCACCAGGAGTAACAAGACCACGTGGGATCGTATCACTACATTTTACGGGATCTCATTGTGTGCGTCTTGACTTTCGACCTGGTCAAGTGCCATTGCCTCCGATTAATGGGCTTTGGCCTATTTATCATGATCCTAATGTCCATGGTTGGGACCAATTCTTCTCACAAGAACGTCACTTTTATGATAGTTTAAACCCAGACGGTTGATGGTTAGATGTAGTTGTAGTTATTGTATTTGATGCAACTATTGATTTACTATTTTAGAAATGCAAAATAAAAAAAGTCCAATCATCTGAAAATTCCAAAAGTTAGATCATCTCACGAGCAAACAAACTAGCAATTCCAAGTAAAAATAAAGTACAAGGATAACAAACTAATAGTCAAGTATAACAATCTAGAAATGTCACACTCTACTACGGAGTCTTTCCGACATACTGGTCATACAACTCGTGAACCACACTCATCATATCGTAGTACTGAGATGCATGCTCCACATAGTGATCCTTGTCCCTCACCACCAACACAAGACCAAGCTTCTCCACAATCTGCTTCCTCAACTGTAAATACAAAAATAATGAACGGTTTGCCCATTCCATGACCAGACATCTTAAAAAAAAATTACAATTAATGATAATCAAATGCATTAACATTTACTGATAATTTTCTTGTAATTTTTTGATAATTTATTAACATTAATTACAACTTTCTTAGTCATTTTTTCTAATTTCGGCTACTTTTTAATTTCCCATTATTTCTAATATTTTTTAAAATTAATTACAAATTTACAGATTATATTTCTAAATTTTGATACTTTTTAAAAATTTCAAATCATTTTTAATATTTTTTTTACATTATTCACAATATTTTTTTCATAATTGAATTCATAAAACTATTCGAATATAATTTTTATAATTAATTATAAGCTGTACAACTTATTTATAATTAACTACAATTTATTTCGACTGGTTGCGCGGTTGGCGACGACGAGTGCGGACTGACGGCGCGGCTGACGGGGACTGGAGGCGTGGCCGGAGTGGCGGCGTGTCTTCTGTGCGGCGACGTCTCTGCTGCCTGCGTGGCGTGGGTTTGGAAAAATATGTCGGGGAGAGGAAGTGGGAAGGGAGTTTGTTTGTTTAGGGTTTGTTTTTGAATTTTAAAAAGGGTAATTCAGTAATTTACGTATTAAGTTAGGACGACGGTTAGTAATTTTTAGGACAATCTTTAACCATTCAGTAATTTACGTATTAAGTCTGAATCGTTATTTGTCGCTCTAAAATTAAAAAAAATCACCATAAACCATACTAAACGACACATATACCCATAACTTCAAATTAAACTAATTACTAACCC